ATTTGGTCCAGCTTCCAATAAATGATCTTCAAGCATGCCTTGATACTTCTTTGAATTCATTCTTTGAGTTATAAATGCTAAATCTGTGGTTCCGTTGAATCCAAACGCACCCTACACCATTATTGATCCCCCACCCATTTGGCGTTGTGAAAATATTTGTTTTTCGGTTCTTAAATCGTGCCAATAATACTTCCAACCGTCTGGACCATCTAAGTTGAATTTTTTTTCATCACTGAACAAAACTTCAATCCATTCTTCGGACCATGTCATGTGTTTTTGTGTCCAATCAAGTCTGTCACTTTTGTGCTTTAATGAAAGTGGTGGCATTACAGCTTTTTTTCTGAATTTTAACGTTGAAGATTTTTTTAAAACTCTCTGCACTGCTCTGCTGCTACAAGGCAAGACTAGTTCTTGTTTTATTTTTCTTACTGATATTTGTTTTGTGGAGCAAACCTTGATGATTTGTCTACAATCTCGAGGAGTAAGCTTGGGTTTTGGACCTGTCTTGAATTTTGGTACATCCTTGCCACGTCTTTTTGATAAATAATCACCAACAGTTGATTTTGGACGATTTATATATGTTGCAATTTCTCTTATTGACTTGCCTTGTGATTTATAGGCATCAATCTTCCCTTTTTCATAATCAGATAAATTCTTTGTTCTGCCCATTTTAGAACGTTGAACAACGTAAAGAATTTGTATTACAATTACATATGTAAGCTAATTTGCATATTTCAATGCTTGAAACTAAACAATATTCTGTTTAAGTCATAAAATGAGTGCCTGTCCGGATAAATATGTAACAGTTTTTTTGTATAAGAGTTTCATAAACATTATTTTCAGTCACAAAATATTAATGTTTGATTAAAATTCTTATTTTGCAGTGTGGAAACACGTAAATCCATATTATTTTTAATAAAACATTTGTCACTTAAAGCAGCAAATTTGGGTTTTACTTTAATTTTTTCGTGTCCGTATAAATTTGAAACACACCTTACAGCACTTGCTTGCGTGTAATCGAAATGTGTCCTTACGAGCATATCTTTTTAAGAAAGATATCCCTATAAATAGAACAGATACCCATATGATTAAGAACTTACCCATAAGAAAATGAAATTCTAAACCAATACGAAGCTCAGTTATGGGTAAACGAGATCTACTGTAGACAAGGAATTTCTGAAACTCCTTTCATACGAAGTTGTACCATAAAAAACGCGCATCACACGATAATAATAAAGTCTAGGATGCATCTATTACATTTAAATACTAGACCAAATCGAATATGAAAAGGGGTATATTTGTGCAGGTCTATTAAAAGAAACAGGCCCTAAATACAGTAATAGTACATAAAACTGTCATACAGCATGCATTACACTGGCATTTTTATGAAATTTTTGTTTAAGACCTGATATAGAAAAATATATTTTTGCCTATAGGCTTACTCCGTCTTGGTCCAATATTCAGTACTAATCTTATTCCTATCTTCTCTACAATACCACTATTGTAGAGGAAATCTTTACATTACATGCAGTTGTGAAAGAGTCAATATCGTCTAGGACTTCATAATCTATAACTGTCCTGTAGCCCTAACGAGTGCTGTAGCTCTTTCATAGCTGCATATAATGTACTGTACACTACACTGTACTATTTGATACGGAGTGGAAGTAATTCATAATACGTATAAAGTCGATCGTAAAATGTCCGTCTCAAGAAAACTCGTGACTCATAACGTACATTAATGTAGAGTAATAATACTACCTAAACGGAATATTTAATTATTATGCGCATTTCCATTATTGGTAAATGGAGAAGAATTGAAAATTTATGTAATTCATCAAATTTGTGATGTAATTATATAAATTTTTTTTTCTGTATTTATAAATTGTTCCGCATTTCTTTGAAACGAATTTTACTACACTTTACTTTGGAATTGAAAGTATTGGTAATTTCATAAAAAGGTCATTTTAAATAGTGCTTTCTTTGTATTCTCATTCATTTAGTAAACTGAAACTTATTTAGCTCAAGTTGAAATTCTTAAATAAGTAAATGATTAAGATGAAAAATTATACAGAACCAGATAAATACGAAGATTCTAATCATATCATCAATCTTATTACCTAAACATTCATTCAGACTTAATTGTTGGTTCTTCAGGATGTGGTAAAACAAATGTCTTGATAAATCTTATTTATGATCAATTGAATTTTCATGATTTATATATACTGTAATTGTGCTAAAAACATCTATTTCCTTAAAGAAACATGCCAATTTTGTATGATTTTTATGATCTTTCGATTTCACCTCATTCATCAAAAAGCTAGCCAAAACCGATAAATATACACCATTATACGAAAATATGATTTAGGAATGTACTTGCTTAAGGCACTCGATTCTGAGATCCGGCTGATTTGCTGAATCCTTCTCGTTCCTCCTGCTTACAGGCAACGGATTCTACACATTAACTCCGTTATTTGACATGTATAGACTAGGCGATGAAATGGCCCCCAAAATTTACTTTTCCTGCAGCCAATAGCGTGCTTGTATATTCGCATTTGAGGAATATTGGTTTTTACTCTTTAACATGAAGTGTATTGAATCGAAGTGTACAGAATTGGCAGAAGTGTATTGGATCGAATAATCTTAATTTATTTACAGTATAATTACATATGTTATTTTGAAAATTTTGAGAGAAATATAAATGAATTTCTTTTAAAAATTACACTTAAATTCTTTCATTTTTTGTAGACCCAAACTCTTTGCATCCAACTTGTATTTAGCCAGAGCACATTCAAAGGTTCGTATCATGTCGTTGTGCATTCTGCACTGCTTAGCAATCTCTTCCTTAAGAGCAGCTGTCTGATTGTTTTTATCAGTCAGGATGTTTTCTAATTTTAATTCTACGTTTCTTAGTATTTCCTTACTGACGTATCCATTATTAACCAACTCGTCTAACTCCAACTGCTTACGTTCTAAGTTTAATGCGGTGATTTCTAGTTTCCTCTCGACCAAACACCGCTTAAATTCCGCTTTTTGCTGTATGTTCCTTGCACATTTCACGAAATTCTCCATCAGGACGTCCCTCTCTTTGGTTACGGAATCCAATTGTTGACGTAGAATTTCTATTTGAAGTTTCTCTTCCGATTGAGTCTTAATTAGAGATTTCAACTGACTTTTGGTCTTCTTCAAATCGACTTTATCCACATCACGACTACGCAATTGCTTTCTTAACGATGCCAATTGTTCGTTTGTCTGCGCCAGTTGCTGATTTTCTTGCATCAGTTTGTTTGCCAACGACCGATAGTGACTACTTTTCTTTTTTTCTTTATTAATTTCCTCCTTCACATTACCTACCACGGATATATTATCCGTAATCATATTCTTGGAGAAGACAGCGAAGCTTTTCAAATCCGTTTCGTGTCTCTCGACTACTTTCTCTACTTCAGTTTTCGCACGATTTTTCCATTCGTGGCATTCGGCCAACCTTAAGAAATCGTTCTTTTCTTTTTCTTGATTAATTAAATAATCGTATTTCTTCCTCATGCTGTCGATTTTCTCGTTACATTTGGCTTTTTCTCTATCCAAATCTTCCACGTACTTCAAGTTGAGCTGGTCGAACGTTCGCAGCCTTGCCACATCTTTCTCTTCCACTTTGGATCGAATGCGAAAGATATCGGATTTCATTTGTAATATTTGATGCTCAGAATTTAGTTTGCGGGTTCTTTCCTTCTCATTGAGCTTATTTTCGAAATTTTGAATCCTTTTTTCATTCTCGTAATTCAGGTGTTTGCATTTTTTCCCGTAATTCAATGCTTCCTGCTCGCATTTCTTTCTTTCCATTTCCAGTTCTATGTTAAGCATCTCGACTGTCTTCTCTAAATTACTGTTTTCTAGCTTTAATAACAGAATATAATTGGAAAATACTTTATTTTCTTCTTGTAAACAGTTCCTTTCCTTTCTTTCTTGCTCCAGTTCTTGCTGGAGACAATACGCATAATTCTTCAAATCATCAGAGTTTTCTTCAGTTTCTCTTGATGATTTCGTGTCCGTTTTCCTTTTTGGAGGCATAATTTTTTACTTTTAACAATAAAAATCTCTTGAAAATACTTTAGTTAAATTCTTAATGTTAATTTTTGCGAAAGTTTTACAATAATTAACACAAAAATTAATTGTAACGTAACAATTTGATGCGCGGTTAAAATAAAATTTGATCTTATAAGTTCNTTGACGTACAGTACACTTATTAAATCCGAAAATTCTACAGTACAGTAGTTTACATTTAGTAGTAATTTAATAATTAATTAAGAAATGATTTAATATTTTATCGTATTTTGTTATTTGAAAGATCTGTCATGTTGAAGTAGAGGGCCTGCTGTGACATCACATAGATCCAAGGTCACGTTAACAAATATACGGGATCTGGCTATCTTTGTAGTTTAAAGTCCTTGGAGCCCAGCAAGAAGAAAATGTCTAGGGCCCCAAAGTGGGTTAATCTGGCCCTGTACACGATTCACAAAAATTATTGCAAAAACACAAGAAACCTTCGCTTGTGCTTATAGGCAATGTTTCCTCTAATTTTTTGTCTCAATGAGCAGAACATATAATTCTCTGAGCAAAGAAAAATTTTTGCTGAGCATATATATATATAATTTTACTTTTTCTAAAAAATTAAAATAATTATAAAGTAGAGATTAAAATTCATTTTAAAACATACCTTTATACAAAATATTATCTTTTGTCAATGATTTAATGTATTTAATCGAAATACAAGGTCTGTTCAAAAAGTATCAGACCTTTTTTTTTTCCGCATAAACCAATGATGCGCGAGAGGCCTCCTTCGGTGGAGTTGTGGAGGGGACAGTCATGCACAGCCCTGAATTTTTTCCCGCCTGCAGGAAGCGTCAGTCGTTGGCAATCGGCCTATGAGTGAGGTCATGTAGTGAGCTCTCGTCGGATTCCACTAAGCTGGAAAATGGCTGAACAACGTGAGCAGCGATATTACATCAAATTTTGCCAAAAACCTTGGCGATACCCGAGCGTAAACCATTCGCAAGATTCAGCAGGCTTTCGGGGACGATCCTCGAGGCCAAAAAAAGCACGGCAGGTCCGTAGCAATGTCAAAGGTCATGTTGACAGTTTTTTCGACTCTCGTGGGGTGGTGTGTCGTGAGTACGCACCAAAAGGCCAAACCATCGCAAAGGAGTACTACCAGGAGGTCCTTTGTCGTCTTTCCGATACAGTGCGACGCAAACGACCGGATCTGTGGTCGATCAAAACTTGGCAGCTCCATCGTG